GTTTGTCTGTCTGTCTGTCTGTCTGTCTGTCTGTCCGTCCATCCATCCATCCATCCATAGGAACCTCTTTCAGATTTGCCCCTTTTTCAGGTTTGTCATTTATTTTTTCCAAGAAAATAGGGTCCCGGTCATTGTGACCCATCTTCTGGGGAAATGCAGCTTCCACTATTTCCAAGTTTGCATGCCACTTAGAGAAGCTGGAAAATCAATCTGAGTTTTCTCTTTGGGTTATGACAGCGACCAGGTAGATTTCCCAGATAATATCCAGTTGGAACTGATTAGAGAAACACAACGGAATAAAAGGATGGAGAAAAACGATGGGGTATCCCTGATCTCGGTTTCCCCAAGAGATTGATAAATATGAACGCATCAATTTCTTTTGTTTAAGCCCGAATCAAATATGGAAGAACAATGTTTGAACCATGGACATCCATGGGTAGAATGTTGGACTAAAGTTGAATCTTCAACTGCAGGTCTGTGTGCTAAGGCTAGCGCTCTTCCTCCTCTTCTTCCTCCTCTTCCTCTCTAAATAAAGCAAGAGTGAGAGTTATTCAGCCATAAAGTGCTCTAATAAGCATGCAATTGGATATAAATAAAGAATGACTCCTAGTTGATATGCTATCGATTTTTCCATAATGCTGCATTCTTTTTCAGGGCCCTATTAAGTAGAGGGAGCCTCAAGATTCAAGGGTTAGGGAAAGGAAGAGAAAAGCAGCAATACACGGAGGGTGTAGGGGGAGGCAGAAGTAGCAAAGGAATCCAAAAGTTGTTAACAGATTAAAGGGACAGTAAATGAAATCTCCGCCCTGGGAAAGAACAGACTCAAATTAACCCTACCTTGGTTCTGCCTGCTATATGAGAGGAAGAGGGGAACTCTGGTAGACTTCCAAGGTTCTGTTTTTATGGATTGATCAAGTCATTTTTTACTCCTAGCGACCACATGGATAGATTTTCTCCAGGAGGATCTGTCCCTAACCTGTCCCTTCACGTCTTCCAATAGTGCCCCCATCACTACTGTAACTGAGTCCCTCCACCTTGCTGCTGGTCATCCTCTTCTCTTTCCTTCCATCTTCCCCAGCATCAGAGCCTTCTCCAGAGAGCTGGGTCTGAAGTAGGATAATTTGAGCCTGGTCATTTGTGCCTTGAGTGAGGATTCTGGCTTGATTTGTTCATTTATTTGATGATCCATCGGTTTGTTTTCTTAGCTGTCCACAGTATTCTCAGGAGTCTTCTCCAACACCAAAGTTCAAAAGCATCAATGTTCTTCCAATCCTGCTTCTGCTATTATACTGTTATTATAGGCCAGGTCAGTAGAGTTCCACTAGTCCTTGTGGTGTCCGATTCCTGACCAGTCCTACCTCAAAGGGCTGACACAAAACTGGTGGCTTAACACACTTGCTTTCCATAAGCTAGCCTGCTATTCTCAAGTGGCTGAAGGACATTGTCTCATGGCCACATTGAAGATTCAGTAGTCAGTTGTGTATGAGACAGTGAGAAAGTGAGAGAGAGAGAGAATGATCTTGTTCTTTACTTCAACCTGAAAATACCTTTGACTAATTTGGTTCTTTCATTGCAATCTTGTATCTGGCAATTGCTGAATAATGGAGGCATTGATTAAATGGCCAGGTTTGGACTCTAGGGTGGATGAGCTTCAAAACCCCAAGTAGACTTGTTTTGAGTTTAATGCAGTTTAAATCAACTTGCACATAAACATTAGCAAAATGGTTTTGACAATCATCTGTTTAACTTGCTGACATGCCTGGGTGGAAAAGATGCAAGGCACAAATGTAGGATGGGGAATAACTGGCTTGGCAATAGCCCATGTAAAGGAGACTGCAAATTAAACATGAGCCAGAAGTGTGATGCAGCTGCTAAAAAGGCCAATACTATCTCAGTCGTATTAACAGGAGCACTGAGTCCAGGTGACAGGAAGTCATATTTCCAATTTACCATGCCCTGGCCAGACCCCTTAGGAGCCCAGTTCTAGGAACCACAATTCCAAAAGGACAGTTTTGGAACAAATTCAAAGGAGGGTTAACAAGATGGTGATGGGTTTGGAAAACAAGACCAATAAGGAACAATTAGAGTCTGGGTATGTTAGGCCTACAATAGAGATGACTGGGGAAGATAGGATAGCAGCCTTTAGCTCTCTGAAGGGTTCATAAAAGAGAGCTTGAATTTATTTTCGGTTGCCCCAGAGGGCAGGGCCAGAATCAATGGGTAAAACATCAAGGAAGCGAATTCAGACTAGGAATTTCCTGATGTACAAGCTGTCAGCCAGTGGAACAGGCTGCCCCGTGAAATGACCAATTCTCCTTTGCTGGAAGTCTTCAAACAGAGGCTAGATTGTCATTCATTGTAGATGCTTTAGTGGATCTTGCACTGACCCAGCGGGTTGGTTGAGATGACTTCCAGCTCTATAATTCCGTGATACAGCACACAATCTTCATAGTATGTTCTCGAGTATAAATATATAACAGGATGCACAGTTTATTGGAATATTTCCCAGAGTGCCCAAAGAAAGTGGTTTATGCCAGGAATCCTAAATCTCATGGTGTCCCCAACCCAAGTGTATAATTTCACTTACACAAGCAACACACACTTTCTACTGTTCTCTCTTGCCAGTTTCTGTAGCTGAACAAAATAAAACATCCAGGAGAATGTGAAATTGAAAGAGTTTCATTTCTCTTTCCCGTTCTGTTGACTCATGGCCATATTCTGAGTGCTTCCTGGGAAGGCTTTGTAAGACTTCGGCAATGGATCTGATGCTGGGTGAAAGTCCACATCTAGTTTCTATTTACCTCATCTATGGTAGCCAAAATACAGAAATGGTGTCATGTTCCCAACCTGTATAGTCCCATCCAGTGTTTCTCAACCTTGGCGACTTGAAGATGTGTGGACTTCAATTCCCAGAATTCCCCAGCCAGCATTCCCAGCTGGGGAATTCTGGGAGTTGACGTCCACACATCTTCAAGCTGCCAAGGCTGAAAAACAATGATCCCATCAATTAGCAGTCTGGATGGATGCCATATGGGAATGTAACAGCCTTATAGCACTTCTTCATTTTTTGAGGTCAGAGGGCCATTTTGCCTCACCGAGGCATGGTGTGGCCATTTCTGATTTGATTCTTGCATGTTTATTTTTTTTTTTAAAAAGCTAATCACCCAAAGTCAGCAATCTTGCCCCCCTGTTTCAGTGACAGGATCTCAGAGTGTTTGGGGATCTCACATAGGGGTCTTGGGAATGCCTGGCACTCCCTGCCCTACGGATCTGCCACAACGTTTGGATCCATCTCCACCTTCTTCTCTTGGCTACCTTCATCCCTAAATGGGGAGGATGACTTTGCAGAAGGAGGTTAATTGACATCCTTGGGGAGAATCAAGTTCTAAAACAAAGCGTCTGAATAAGAAGAGTTTCCAGAGCAGCTAGCCACCCCATTTCTGCAGTCTGGTGTCCACACGTTGCCTTGTTCTGAGGAAATTTCAGGGTGAAAAATGGGACGGGGGAGCTATTCCTGAAAGTTACATGTTGATTCAGTGACCCTCTCTCAGAAGTCCTCAAAATGAGACATCAGCAACAAATGCAGGCCTGATCTTCCACCTGAGACAGAAGAGTGACTTTGTTAGAGGTCTCATCTGTCACAGATGGTTTAGTGGATCTTGCAGTTGAGGAGGAGGTTGGACTAAATAAGATCTAAGATTCTTTCCAACATCCTATGAATGTATAAGTATAAGAAGTCCACCCTTGAGAAAGAGGGGAGCCTTCATTTCTTCACCACCCCTGCTTTCCATGGTCATCTCAGTTCATTGTGTGATGTTGGACCATCCAGGACACCCATTTGGAACACTCAACCATTGCCTACAGTATTTTGTGGAAGCCCTTTCACTCTGGACCATCTCCTAGGAGTTACACTGAAGTGTCCAGAATTATCACTTTCTAAAGCTTTTTAGCAAGAAGGCTGTGGTTCAGTTCCTCTCCTTGAAAGCAGAGATAGAAAAGGTGCACTTACAGGCAACATTTTTAGGAATCAAGAACCTTGCTCTGTTAATTGTAATGATTGTCCTTCTCTGTTATTTTTTCCTCCTGGGCAGATTCATTACGAAACATTCCTCTTGTGAGTCATGGTCCACGCTCATCCCCAGCTGAGCTCAGTAGCTCCAACCAACGGTTGTTGCGAGAACGAAAGACGTCCGCTCCGTCGCACTCCAGCCAACCCACCCTCTTCACTTTTGAGTCGCCTTCTAATCACATCCGGACCACTCTTTCTACTAGTGCTCCTCAAGACTATCTCTTTCTACACCAGTGCATGAGTCAAAAATCAGAAAACACTAGGTAACTCTTGGTTTACCCAACAATGGGCATCTTTGTAAGCCTTCTTTTGAATCTACTTGCTTATTTGGTTGTTAGTTTAATTTAAAACTTTATGGATTGCTCTTCCAGTGCATTTGCACTGCTCAGGGTGAATTAGGACAAGTACAAGCAGTAAGAATCAAACATTGGTAGTAACAGCAGCATTAAAGCAAAAACAAGCTCAACAAGTAAACCAATGTTTTACTTGGAAGTTCACTGCATTTGCCCTCCTTTGAAAGTCCAGCTGTGGTGCTGCAAATTATCTTAGAGTCTTAAGTGGGTTTACAGTTTAAAAGATGGGACATAAAAGGAAAAAGAGTAGAAAAGGGAAGAGGAGTAAAAACATAACACACTCCATCACCAGTTCTTAAAGATGCAAATTTCTAACGTGGGCCTACTCATTTTGGTCAATGAAAATTGAGGTTCAGATCGCACGACTCAGCCAGTGTGAGTTAAGAAGACACAACAGCAGTGTTGGTATAACATGCTAGACCCACACAGATCAACCCTGTTATGACTTAGCATTATGGTTGACACTAATACAACAAATGGTTCCCACAACACATTGAACCACCAACTACCCAGCCCCATTTTAGCCTAGTCTAGCGTGTCCTACAAACCCTTCGCTCAACTCCAGTGGGGGGACAGATTATCAAATAAAACCTGGGTGGTTCAGGGTTATCCATATCTCTTCCAGCGCTGATCAATGAAGTAATCCTTCTTTCTCCTCTTGTTTCGTTGTAGGAGTGCGAGTTTCTCTCAAGCTACAAGGTTCTTCATGAGAAGCGACCCATCAGTTCAGAAACTGTCTCAGGAGAACGGGCACTGCGTCAACGGGGTGGGCGGGCAAGTCCACGGTTTCTACAGTTTGCCCAAGCCAAGCCGGCACAACTCGGAGCTCAGAGACAGTGCCTATGACTTGCCAAGAAGTTTTGGGTGCTATGCCCACACCAAATCGAGCCTCACCGGCTCAGAAACATCAGATAGTGAGGAGGTCTATACCTTCAAGACCCCCAACAGCACCCTTTGCAAAGACTTTGGGGAGCTTTCCACAGACTCCTACGACATTCCCGGTACCCCTCTGTCAATTTATCAGATCCCAAGGACCTTCACGCTGGACAAGAACCACAATGCCTTGACGGTGGCTTCTAGTGACACGGTGGCGACTCCTCCACCCAGACCTCCCAAACCGGGGCAGGCGGAATCCCGCTGGGGTAGCCCCCAACAACGCCTGATGGACAGCGAAGGCCTAAGCATGAGTCCAGTGGTTACTACCATTCCCAGAAGGAACACCCTGCCGGCAGTGGAGAACTGCAGGTTACACCGAGGTAGATCTGGTGCCTACAAAATTTATAGGATCGCATATGCACTGTCTGAGCGTAGACAGTGAAGTTTCCACCAAACAACCCAGAGGCATGATCCATTGTTTTCTAAATCTTTATTAGTGCCATATTCTACAAAGATGCACAGAGATAAATGCGCACAGTCACACGCACACAAGATATCTACCAAAAAGGAAGACAAGGAGAGAGAAAGTGAGGGGGCCCTTCTCCCCCACAAAGCAAGTGGATGAAAGGGAATTAGGAGAGTCCAAAGAATCCTTTAGGGCAAATCTCAGCTTTTCAATTCCACGTTCTATATATTATGCGTTGTATATTATACAGGTTGTGATGTCTGTGCTGATTCTCACAACAAGCTTTCACAGTTTGTTCTGGCCTCCTCTCTTTCCTTCTTCTTTTGTTGTGTCAGTTCCTTTCTCAACAAAATTGAGCCTTGTTTTTTAGAGACTTGTTTATTAGTATCAACCATGCAATCATGATGGATGGATGGATGGATGGATGGATGGATGGATGGATGGATGGATGGATGGATGGATGGATGGATGGATG